TCTCTAATCGAACCATAACTATACAATCATAGTTCGAATCGTGAAACAAAATTCACATACTTTACGAATCATAACCAAAACGTGCATTAAGCAAAGCAAACAATACGATTTTGTTTGGTATGGATTAGATGATATTATGGTTTTTAGTTTTTCGCTAAACCCTAAAAGCATCTCTACCCAAACCTTTAAAATTTAGAATGTCAAATTTTTTTGAAAGTTTAGGTGGCAAATTGGCATATGTCAATTTGACATGGAAACTTTCTATATGATATGTCAAATATTATATTATATTATATTTATAAATAAATAAAAAAAAGAATGTCCCCGGACATCCCTAGGACGACTACCTTGTGCAATTGGATGTTTTAATTGAAGACAAAAGAGAAGAAAAAAAGAAAAAAAGGCATCAACAGATATGAAGGGGCGATGCCAAAAGTCACATTAGCTTTTGGCACACCGCGTGAAATTGATACTTTATGCCAAAATATAACTGTTAGGATGCCATATCAGATTTGAAATAGGTAATCTAATGACAACTCCCCTACTTTTTTGACTACTTTATTTAAAAAATCTCAAAAAAGAAAAAAACACTATAAAAGTTGCTAAACTAGTTCTCAATGGACCTTGGGTTTGATCTAATGATCTAATAGTCACACCTTATAGCCTCCGTTTGAGAAGTGTGTTGACTTTTTGATTTTTTGATTATTTTAGCCTGGAGCTAAAAAGCCTGGTTTGGGAAGAGCTTTTTGACTTTTTTAATTTTTTTTGTGAGAGAATAGTATAATGATTATGGGTTGGATTTGATATTTTATTTTTTGTGGCTAAAATAGCCTATTTTATTTTTTGTGGCTATTTTAGCGCCTAACCCACCAAAATCAACTTCCCAAACTATGCCATAGAGTGTAGTGAGGGAGAAGTCAGTGATTTAAGTTGATGGAACAACAACAAATTCTTCTCAATTGTAATCTAATTATATTAATATATTAACGCTCTCTTTGTTAAAAAAAAAAAAGAAAAGAAAAAGAGTTCTCAACGTAGCATTATTATATTATTTGTTCACATTTTTTCTTGGAAGTATTTTAGTAATTGACTAATGCCACACTAATATGGAAAAAATTATTATAAGAGAATAATATGAAAAATATAAGGCTATATGAATAAAATATATTCTATGCAAAATTAGGTGACTGAATTTTGGACATATCAATCTAAAATAAAGAACTTATATGTATTTTACTTATAAAGAAGAAAATCCTAATTTTGTTGAATATTTATGCAAAATATTTAATCAGGAAATTGATGTGATAATAATAATTTAAAATAATATATTACATTTAATTCAATGATACGCAAATTTCATTTCATTTTTTGTATAAAGTTTTATATGAATTTTTATTTATATATTACTGCTCTTATAAATTTTCTATCATCACATTATATTTGTTTAATATTATTTATAAAAGTTTTTAGAGAAACACATTTTTGAGAGTAAGATATTAATAACGAAACATTAGAAAAGTGGCCCACACTTAGGTGCTTTAATATGAATTGTATTTTATTGTTCGAAAAATTACAAAAATAAAAAAAAATAGGATTCGATCCTTATAATAAAATAAATCTTAAATTTTTTATTTTATTAATTTAAATTTTAAATTTTTGATTTATTTTTAGTTTAAACTATGTATATTTCCGTTAAATAAAACTGATTGAAAAATAATTTTTAATCATTAATCTAGATGAAAAGAGATATTTTAGATAGTTTATGTATAATTATATTGAAAATATTATTTTTTCATCAATTTTACTTAACAAAAACAGAATAATAGTTTAGATTGAAAATAAATTAAAAAAATATAATTTAAATTACAAAATTAAAAACTCAATATATATATTTTTTAAAAGATAGTATTAATATGTTAATATAGTTAAATTACAATGGAGAGGGTTTCATTAGTTCAAACCCATGACCTCCTCCATAGTATTAATATGTTAATATAGTTAAATTACAATGGAGAGGGTTTCATTAGTTCAAACCCATGACCTCCTCCACACCACGCATTAAGGTGTGACTAACACTATTGAATTAAATCTCAATATCTAAATCTTATTTTGCTACAAGAATCATACTTTAATATTTTTTAAATAATTTTCGGTTTTTTTTTATATTTTTGTATAGAGTGATCTTATTCGTATTTCTTCTCTTTTTATTGTATTTATTTATTTATATTCCATTTTCAAAAGTTTGTGAAATTTGTTTAAGTTTGTTGAATTATGTAATTTTTTTTTTTTGAAACATGAGGTTTAAAAAAAAAATTAAAAAATTAAAAGCCAAACTAAAAAAGTGACCAAACATAAAATAGTGTAATTTACTCTTTGGCTATGTTTGGGAAGCAAATTTGGGCTGAAATAGCCATATATGACAAAAATGGTTATTCTAATCAGATAGAACAAAATCGCATCAAACTTATAATTATTTCATTTTTTTCTTATAAAAGTCAAAAAAATTAAAAAATCTATTCCAAACGAGACTTTTTAACCCTATACTAAAATATTCAAAAAAATTAAAAAGTTAAAAATTCAACTCACATCTCAAACAAAGCCTTTACATAATTATGATTTTAATTAGTAGCAATTATACTTTTATTAACCCATTTTCCATAATATTTATATGAGCTTGTTTTGTACTATAATCATTATCATTTTAACGGGTAGTAATTTAGATATTTATCCATTTTAGTTTATATTTCAATTTTACATATTTTAGTTTTAAAAAATAATATTTAAGTATATTTTTTAGATCAAGTGATGTGTTAGAAAAATGATTGATTAATAATTAGAAAATATTTAATTATTAACCAATCATCTTTTTGATAATTAGAAACAATAGTGATTGGTACCACTAAACCACTACTAATGAAGTGAAAAATCAAAAAAAAAAAAACAAAAAAACAAGGCATAGCAACACTGTGACAGTAGGTGGAGTCCATTGCTATATCATTAGTGCCACTACGAATTAGTGGTCTCAAGCATTTTTTAATTAGAAAATATTTTAATTATGAACTAATTATCTTTTTGACACATTACTAAATTTAAAAAATGAATCTAATTCTAAGACCTCAATAACAATCAGTGTGTTTGGTTTTAATTTTTTAAATTTAATTTTTTGAAAATTAAGTTTTTTGTTTTTTATTTTATTTTTTTTGTTTTTAGTGAATATTTTTAATATTTTATGTAATTTTTTTTTAAATTTACACTTAAAAAAATATAATATTTGTATTTAAAAAAAAATCACTAAATACCAAAAATACAAAAAATATAAAAATTCAGTATATTTTTTTTATACTTTTGTGTATTTATTAATTTTTTAAAATATTTTTTCACAAATATTTTACTAGATAGATACATCTAAATAAGATGCATCTAAAAAAATAAAAATTTGCTTAAAATTTAAAAATATTTACTAAAAATAAAAAAAAATACGAAGAACGAACAATTCAATTTCTAAAAAACTGAATTCAGAAAATTAAAATCAAACCCACTGAATAAATTTTAGCATTATTCTTTGAAAAATGTTAGGCATCCCAAATATTTTATCAAATATTTGTGGGACTCACACCATGTGAGTCTTATATAAATCCCACACATGTAAGACTTTTGATAAAATAGTTAATAAAACATTTAGGGCTTGTTTGGTTTGTTTTCGTGAGAGTTGTTTTTGAAATTTTTTTTTGAAATTTTGTTTCATTTGTGATTTTTCTCATAAAAAATTTCAAAATCACTTTCTCTCTCCTATATATTAATCAATCAATTTATCTCTTTCCTCTCTCTTTATCTATCATTTTTTCTCTCACACACATCCACTCAATTACAACAAAATATCAAATCATCCCAAACTCTAAATTTCAAAAATATTTTCAAAATATACAACCAAACAAACTAAAACAATTTTTAAACTCTCCCTCTAATTTTTTTTTAAAATCACTTTCTCAAAAACAAACCAAATACACCCTTAGCGTATCAATATCAGGCTCTCTACAATAGCTTTGAATCTATTGTAGAGAGCATCACCATCAAATCCTTCCTCCATCAGGCTCAACAATTTTTTTGTAAATTAACGTTTTGTTAAATTTGCTACAGTACTTCAACAAAAATAAAGAAGCACTGTTCATTAGCTACATTATTTTTATTATATTTTCTGAAGCAAAATTGGGCCAAAATCTTTAAACCAGTTGTCCACCCGGATATCCTTCTGGATATCCGACCGGATGTTCTATGAGTGCCTGTAGCAGAAGAAGAAAAATGTCAAAAATTAGCCTAATCGGTCGACTGGGTGGTCGACCGGTCATAGGCATTTTTATTTTATTTTATTTTTACATTTTTTAAGAATTGTTTAGTGACACTTCATCAATTTAATAAAAAAGAAAGAATAACAAATACAAAAGAAATTAATATTTTAATAAGATTGAATTAGAATAGAGAGTATGATACAATAAATATTAAAAAAGTAACTCAGGGGTGGGTTGTGGTAAGAACATGGGGATTTAGCCCCAAGGTCATGAGTTCAAATCTCTCCTGGGCCAATCTCTTAGGCGTAGCACAGTTGGTTAGGAAGTTGGATCTCAAGTTGTCTAACAAGTACTTGGTGTGGGTTCAATGCTCCCCCGATATGCGAGTCTTGATTTAAGCGGAGCTTGTCTTGGAAGGTTAGGGCAAGTTTTCCGGTTATAGTCTCTTCGCTCGGAACGACTAACAGAACACCTTGGTGAACTCTACAAAGGGGCACTGCCTTGGAACTGCGAAAAAATAGGAAGAATTTTCCTACAACAAAAAAAAATAAATAAAAAAATAACTAGTTAAAATAGAAAAAACAAATTTTGAATTAAATTAACTTAAAAATTTAAAGGGGCATGTTTTTCGAATCTTTTAATACTACTCTAATTTTTTTTTTTTAAATATTCGTTTTTCTTGTCCCTCTGATTTTACGCCGGATGGCAGATGAAACCGCTCCATCCTCCCATTATAAACCTCCACCTGCTCCGGATTCCTGTTTCCTTCTCTCTCTCTCTCTCTCTCTCTCTACAACTTCGAACCAACTAGCTTCCATATGCATTCACCTCACCTCTTACCCCCAAAACTCATCTCTCTTATTATCAGTGCCATAGGCTTGAAAATGAAGTTGCATGTACTGCTCTCACGCCTTTAAATCGGTGATTACAGCTTCAGACCGCTTCACGAAGCTCCTACACCTCTCTTAACCACTCTAATAAATATATATATATATATATATCCCATTTCGTATATATATACAAGTGATATATATACGTGTATTAGATTTCTGACTCATTTGTTTCGATCTATGATATGAGATGGGGAAGTTCGGTTACAACGGATGATGATGAGGTATTTGTTTCCTTTTTTCAAATCTATCACCGCCTTATTTTTATCCCTCAAATCTCATTTTTCTTGCATCTTTATCTTCTTCAGGTGCTAAGTAGTACATAGCTGGATCGATACCTGATTAAAGGATTTAATTTAACCCACATATTTATTTATATATATAATGGCTCGGGAGACTAGTAACTGGCTTTCGTTTTCACTCTCGCCAATGGAGATGCTGAGTTCATCATCGCAGTCTCAGATGCTACAATCGACGATGAAGCTCGTGCCCTTCGATGCCCCTTCCACTGAAGATTCTCACCACTACTACTTCGATAACTTCTATGCAAACGGTATCTCTCTCTCTCTCTCTCTCTCTCTATTTCTTTCCTTTTGAGGTTTATCTGTTGATTTATTAGCTCTCAGAGAATCTTCTGAGCTAACTCTATATCTGTTCTCGCTCTTGGAGTTACGCGGAAATATTAATCGTCCTGTTTGGTTTCCGAGAAAAAAAACAAAGAAAAAAAAGGAAATGGAACTGATATTGATGTTTTATGGCAGGGTGGGAAAATACGAAGGCTGAATGCCTGTATGATGATGGGGAGAATCAAGTAAAACAAGGACAAAGCATTGCAGATTCGTCCATATTCAGGAGCTTCGTGGATTCGCAAATCCAACAAAATACGGTTCCGAAGCTGGAAGACTTTCTGGGTGGGGAATCGTCGTCGTTGATTGGATACTCGGATAGCCAAACGGAGACACAGGAGGACTCCTCGTCCCTGACTCACATCTACGGTCAGAATGGTTCAACAGCCTACTTCAACGACCATCACCAAGATTTGAAACCAATCCAGGCCGCGGTGGGGGTGGGGGGGTTCCAAGCGTTTTCTGCCAATTCGGGCTCGGAAGAAGTGGTGGATGATTCGGCATTTGTGGGCAGGGCTCAGCTCACTTGTGTGAATTTTGGGGGTCGTCATCATCAGTCCATTGAGTCAGGAGGGGGGAACCAGTTGGGGTTTTCGCAGTGCCCAACTGTTGGTGCTGGTGCATTGTCTTTGGGTGTTAACAGTCACAGCTCCTCCGAGAAGGCTATAGTATCGGTTGATTCTTCAGGGACTTGTAAGAAGATCACTGATACATTTGGCCAGAGAACTTCCATTTACAGAGGAGTCACCCGGTACTCGTCCTTTTCCCTTTCCCTTTCTCTGTTTATTTTAGTTGCTTTCCAGTCGTTCATTTGGACTGGAGGGCACTGTTCGGCCTACGCATCCGAATAATTTATTTATTTTATTGAATATTTTTTATATTTTATTCATATTAAAAAATTAAATCGATCAGATAATAATAATTTATTTAATTCATTGCGATTGTTAAAAAAAAAGGGCCATAATTTTGTTTTAAAAATATTTTTTTTTCCTGATAAACGTAATGAATTGAATAGATATTGATCTAATTTTTTTTGTGCAAATGAAATAAAATGAACAATTTAAATAATGAAATCAAAACAGGGGCGTGGTAGCCTCACAGGCCAGAACTCCAATCCGGATTAAGGACCGGGGATCCACTTCCTTATATTATTGCTGTTCATATATATATTGTGTAAGGAAAATGAAAAGCGAGGGGAGGGTTTGGGTTTTGGGGGATTGTTGATGCAGGCATAGATGGACTGGAAGATACGAAGCGCATCTATGGGATAATAGCTGCAGGAGGGAGGGCCAGGCCAGAAAGGGACGTCAAGGTTCTCTACTGCTCTTCTCTCTCCCTTGTTATATATTGGATCAAAAAACTAATAAAAAAATTGACGAAATTAAAGTAAATGAATGAAATATATCATTCTAAATTTTTATTGTTTATAACTGGACATAATGGTAGTGATGATATTACCTGGATATTATTATCTTTGTATTTATTGCTGAAAATAAATTCGTTCATGTATATAATTTTTAAAACAAAAATGCTTTATATCTCCATTGGGGTCGACCCCAGTGAGGTGGAGGCTTGTGATTGGGCAAAAAAAAATTTTTTTTTTTTGGTTGTCAGCCAGTGGGAGTGCGCCACTTCACTGGGGTGCGACGTCACTGGGGTATTTAGCAGGGCGCATTTTAAAATTATTATGGCAGTATTATTCAAATGTTTGGTTTAATTGGATTCGTATGGAGAGTGGATTAATTTTTTAGTTATTTTAATTTGTGATTTAAAAGTCTTGTTTGAGGAGGATTTTTTTAATTTTTTTTAATTTTTTATGTGAGAAAATTTATAATAATTAAAAATTAAATGTGATATTTTTTTTTATTAAATTAAAAAATCTATTTTGAGTGTCTTAAAATAACTCCAAACCCAGTCTAAACCTCCTCCACTCCAAACAGAGGCTAAATAGGAACTGAGAATCTCAGGTGGTAGTGGGGGCATTTACTTGTATCAAAATCGAACTTATATGAATGATTGATTGAGACTGAAGTATTTGTACAGTCTGTACTTGTTTCTTTCCTTTTCTTTTCACTGAGATGTTTATTCGGATCATGGGCCGCCATTTTTTCATGTTTTGGGTTGACAGAGTTTTTTTTTCTTTAAAAAAAGAATTCTTTTTTGTACAATTCATTATTCTATCCCCACTAGAAACATAAAGGGTAGGTTTGGTTTGTGTTTGATAGATGTGTTTTTAGAGATAAAAAGTACGAAAAATTGTTTGGTTTGGTTTTTTTCAAAAGATGTTTGAAAAATTATTTTGAGAGAGAGTTTTGAAAAAAGTGATTGATTTGATGTGTGTAAGAGAGAAATTTGTTTGGAAAACTTGTTTGGTTTACAAGTTTTGAGAAATTTTTTTGGAAAAATTTGTTTAGTTTAATTACTTTTAAAAACTTATTTGTAAAGAAAATTTCCTAAAAATTTTTCAGAAACACAAACCAAACGAATCCAAATTGTTCGCAAGTTCTTACTCTTTTTATCTCTTGCTTGTGAATTACTTGCATTTTTTTGCATACACATAATCTTTACACGGGTAACTCATCAGCTAGTCTGAACGCTAGCTTCTGATAATCTGAAATGTAATCAGATGCCTTTTACTTTTGCTTTTTCTCTACTTGGCCAGCGTCCTCTCTCTCGCTCTCAATGTGTTTGACCAACTCACTGAAATGACCATTTTCAACGGAAACTTAAACTGCTTTTGTTTTGTTTTTCAAAACTGTTTACAATAATAATATTTACAATAAAGAAATAAAGTATAATACTACCCATGCCCACATTTTCATTTACACATTTCTTGTTCTAGCGTTACTCAAATGCCAAATTTGATGCATTAAACTTGTTAATACTATATATTAAATCACATTTTTCACCCAAGTGTTATTCCTAAATATATATTAACCTCTGTTATCAGGATCTTACGATTCGCGATTCGATTCGCGATACGAATCTGCGTATCTATTTTAAAAGTGAATTTTTAGTGAATCGTGCGATTTATAATCGATTCATGATTCGATTCACTTTTTATGATTCATATAATTTTTGAAATTATTGTGTACGACGTATTTTCGACTCTTGTTTTCTCTATCTTTTTAGTGAAAAATGGCATAATATAACTTTTAATAGCGTTTAATACTAAAATAACCAACATATATACATGATTTATTGTTATTTTAATGATCATGGAGTTTTTAATAGGATCCAATTAGATTCAATCAGACCTAACATATTTTTAACTTTTCTTCTCATTTTTTTTTCCTTTTAAAAAATCATAATATATCTTCTAAAGATGCTTAAGATTAAAGTTATATTATGAATTATCTATTACTATTTTATTAAATTAAATATTACATGTGTGAGATCAGTTATACTTTTAAAAATGTTTTAGGCTTTAAAATAAAAGATTCTAAATAATTCTTTCTTATTATTTGCACACTGTCACTGTCATTTAGAAAAGTATATATGCTTATTGTCCAAATATTAACATTGTTGTTAATTATTGTTACTTTGAAAATTGATAGTTTGTCTATTTGGTTACTATCTTTATTAAGAATGACTGATAAGAAATATTTAAAAAAGAAAAAAGGTAAGATGGTGATATTACATCTTTATTAAGAATGGTGGATAAGAAATATCTAAAAAAGAAAAAAGGTTAATATGGTGATTTTACATAGGAACCTTTGTTAACTTCTTACCTATTAAACTATGTGATTATTATTCAAAATAACATTTTTATTAATTTAAGTCTAAATATTTTATATTTATAAGATATATTTAACATCTAAATGTGTAGATATATGTTTTTAAGTAATTTAGAAAAAGTGACCCAATTTTTACGATTCATGATTCGATTCGATTCGCGATTCGGTACAAGACTATTTTGATTCACGATACGAATCTCGATTTGACAACTATGATATTAACCAAAATGTAAAGAAAATTTTCGGGCGAGGATTTTGTGTAATATTGGGAAGAGAAGGTTGCTAGTGAAAATACTTAGCTACAATTTTTTTTATAAAAAATTTGGAGATGATATCATAACTTTTGGCCATTGAACAGCAGATTAAAACAGTAACGATATCGTCCTGTTTTGGAAAATGAGTGAGAGCACTAATTAGTGCTATCACTAATAATGTGACAGTGGGCCCCATCAAGAATGATTTGATGTTTTGGCCTTGGTGTTATATTTTTTTCTTTTTTTATTGAGTGACATGTCATTAGTGGTCTTTTTAGAACTCTAAAATTAATGGTCTCTATCATTGTTGATCCTATTTTTTAGTATTCTAATAATTCTAGTCAAAAATTCAAAATTACATCGAAAATGGAGTATGAAAAACTAAAGGAGAATCTTGGACACCATCACGGATTCACACACACATGTATATATATGATTATATAACACTCTCGACGTGCACATGTCGGCAAAGTTTTATTCATCTCTCCTTGTTTTATTTAATTAATTATTGCTTTGGGCAGAAATCTTTGACTACCTTGTAAACTAATGTGAAATGTTTCCTCTACTTTTGCATGAAATGTGGAACTCTGGATCTTTGGCTGTCACTCGATGTGAATTTGTTCTGCAGTGTACCTGGGTAAGTAACTTCCTTATTTTCTTTTTTCATTATTATTATTTTTATTATTAATTTTGTATTTCTTATTCTAAATTTATGGTTATATATACAATTTATATAGGGAACAACTTTTAGCCTCTCACACATTTATTTATTTTAGGGTCATCTTACTTCCCACAAGGGGAGTGTTACCCATTACATACTGCTCTAATTATAATGCACTTGTTTAAATTATCAGGTGGATATGACAAAGAAGACAAGGCAGCAAGAGCTTATGATTTGGCAGCTCTAAAATACTGGGGCCCCACTGCCACTACCAACTTCCCTGTAATACGTCGCCCCCTTTCTAGTTTTAATGTCATTCAGATGATAAGCCCTTTGTTTCTGCTTAATATTTACTAAAATGGTCGTCATACGTTAGGTTTCAAGTTATACCACAGAGCTCGATGAGATGAAACACGCAACTAAGCAAGAATTTATTGCATCGTTAAGGAGGTCTGCTGACCTCACCCTTGTTTCTTCTCTATTTTTATATTTGTTATTGAACCCCACTCTTGAATAATCTTCTGTTGCTAAGTGACTTCTCCCAAATTTTTTTTAGGAAAAGTAGTGGATTTTCACGAGGAGCATCTATCTATAGGGGTGTAACAAGGTTTGAACACTTCAATCTTTTGACCAATCTATGTCAAATAATATTTTTTGAAAGTAATGTTTATAATGTAGCTCTGACTTAGGGAACTGGTGCTTCTTTACAGGCATCATCAACAGGGCCGATGGCAAGCAAGGATAGGTCGTGTTGCAGGAAACAAAGATCTATACCTTGGGACATTTGGTAAATAAGTTATATTTATTTTAATTAGCCTCTCATGAATTTTAACATTATGGTTGGAGTCAATGAATAACAAGAGTGAACATGCTATTCCATTTGATCCAATCATGTTATAAATTTTTCCGTTGCTCAACAGAGTTTAAGCTCATCTGGCCACTACTTGTAATGATTTTTGGGCCTGTATTTATTGAATGGCATTACTTACTGGACCCAATGAATGGTTTCAGCCACTGAAGAGGAAGCAGCAGAGGCATATGACATAGCAGCAATAAAGTTCAGGGGTCTGAATGCAGTAACCAATTTCGAGATGAACCGGTATGATGTTGAAGCCATTATGAAGAGTGCTCTTCCCATTGGTGGAGCTGCCAAGCGGTTGAAGCTCTCACTTGAGGCAGAGCAGAAACCGTATGTGAACCACGACCAACAACCCCAATGCAGCAACAACAGCAGTACCAGCATCAATTTTTCTACCATTCAGCCACTTCCTGCAATCCCATGTGGGGGGATACTACCATTTGACACCACCGCTCGTTATCATCACAACCTCTTCAACATCCATTCTGATAATGATAGAGGCACTTGCACTTCTGATAACCCCCCGGGCTCTGCCGCCGCCTCCATGGTAACTCCAATGACTTTCTTGCCACCACCACCAGCTGAGTTTTTTATTTGGCCTCACCAATCCTATTAACATATTGACCAAATAGTAGTGACTTCCTAAACACTTACCATTCAGCTAATGTTAACTACTTTTTCCTTGTCTCTGGCAATTCTCTCAAAGCTGACCTATTATCTATCTGACCCGGTAAACTTTAGCATAGCATTTAACTTTAGCAGGGATGAGACACTTGGTTGACAGTTTGAAGGATGAAGTTTTATTTCCTAGAGAGAGAGCAGAAACAAAAACAAAAAAAAACTGCAATTTTTGTAAGTAGCTTTTCTTCTCAATAGGTTGATGACATGACATGACTTGTATGTTGAATGGGGCCTGGGCACACTCCCATCTTGTGGAGAAGGGTTGAATCTTCTCCAGTTTTGCTTTGGTTGGAGTTGCTCCTCCTATATTGCTAATGGTTAATTGTATTTTGAACATCAAATTTTGCCTCTTATATTTTATTTTATCATAATTTTTGTTTGGCTATAATTAACTTGCAAACACAAACAAACCAACATGAAACCAATCAACCACCCTTGTCCTCGGGTGATTTTGCAGGTTTAAAACCAATTAAGTTTATTCAACCAATCAACTTTAGGAGGGCCGAAACCAGCATGAAACTACAATTGATCAGTAGCGATGATTTTAATTGAATTGAACAGACTAGATTAGTTTGTGGAAGTGGCCGAGCGTAAGCATGCATGGCCTGGTGTCAATCGCCAGCTCTGCGGAATAGAAGCAACATGTGTGTCGAACTAAAACAATCCCTGGCCTTATAAGTGACATCAAACGTGCACAACTAACAAGTATAAATGTATGTCAACTGAATTTGAGGTTGGCGGTGATGATTTTGAAATTGAAGAGAATTACTGTGGTTCCCTTGAAGCAGGAGTGGGTAGTTATGGGCCTTAAGCTTGAACCGACTACTTCGGGTGAGCAATTTTGTCAACCGCATTTGACAGCACCAACTTTCAAAATTGATCCTGTAGACTTAGGGGTGTTTACGGGTTGAGTTTGTTCGGGTTCATGGGTAACATGTCATTTGAACCGACTACTTCGGGTGAGCAATTTTGTCAACCGCATTTGACAGCACCAACTTTCAAAATTGATCCTGTAGACTTAGGGGTGTTTACGGGTTGAGTTTGTTCGGGTTCATGGGTAACATGTCATTTGAACCGACTACTTCGGGTGAGCAATTTTGTCAACAGCATTTGACAGCACCAACTTTCAAAATTGATCGCACCATGCTTTTAGTTAAGCGGTCAGGTCACAGTTGGGGAAATTCTACAAAAAAATAACCATAGATGCTCAAAATGAAAGTATCAAAAACTCTAATTTCAAATAAAAAATTTTAACATTTACTTGCCTCAAAATCCATTAAAAAATGTTTAAGAACTTACACGAGAACTAAAATCCTTAAAGGAAATAAGAAATGGCCAGCAAAAAACAAACCAAATAACCTATAGATCATGCTTTTTGGATTAACGGTGAACTTGGAGCTCGACCTTTGTGGATCTTAGTGATGAGGAACTTGGAGTTGTCAACAACGTGTAGGGGTGTAAATTGGGCTCGGTCCACCTGGGCTCTTGCCAAAATTTGGGTCGGATTAGGTCGGGAGTATTTGGGCTTGGGCCGAGCTTGAACATTTTAAAATTTTTTTCCCATTTTTTCTATCAAAATTTTATTTTTTTCCATTAAAAATGACATTGGGTTTCAGGCAGGCCGAGCTTTGAGCGAATCCACGGGCCATGCTGGACTTTAAAATTATGGCCTAAGCCTAATCAAGCCAGGCCTACCTCGGGCTGGGGGCGGGCTTCGAGCCCACCTCGGGCCGCCCATAGGTTGCGGGCCATTTTTGCACCCCTAATGATACTGGATTCATGTTTAATGTCGCGTAGTGAATAACATCATATATTTGGTTACTCAAAACCATTTCCGGATGAATGAGAGTTTAACGTGCATTTTCATATTCGTGGAAATAATTTTAGATGAGTTTCCTACACATTTGTAAAATATGCTTATCCTACGTTGGAAATACTTAAAGATTTGTATAGGTATATAAACTCCAGCTTATGATACTTGATACTTGGAATGGGCCCCAAGGGGTATCCAAATTTGTGAAAATGTGAGGTTATGGGTAAAGTGGGCTAGACCCATTGGACCCAAAACAAAAACCACATGCGCGCCGCCGTCGAGTCGGGCGGGCTGGGCTGAGTGTGAGGTTGGGTTGGAATACTTATTTTTTTGGACCAAAAACATTTGTATTTTATTTATTTATTTTGAATTTTAATTTTGGTTTCAAAATTCAAAATAAATTGGTCCAGCTTTATTCCTTCACCCAAACAGGTTCATACCTGTTGAATTTCAAACCGAACAGATCTGTTTCTGTCCAAACAGGTTTTCTACCTGTTGAATATGTTCGAACAAGTTTCTATCTGTTAAAACTTGTTCTGAAAAGCCACCAATTTTCCTATATATAGCCTGCCATTCATCAATTTTTTCAATCTAATTTTTCCCTCAAAATTTCTTCTTTTGTTCGTCTCTATGTTTCTGCATCTGTTCGGCAATTAATTTTTAGGAAGAAAAAAAAAGAGTCACAATAGAGTTTTGGTTCACCAGACTTGATTTTGTAGTGCTGCATTTCAAGTGCTAATCGTTGCATCCTGGGAAGTAGACACCAGTAAATCTTGAAGCACCGAAGCGAGGACAAAATCTAATTTAAGGAGATTATGTCCAGCACAAGCCTCGACTTGTAATTTCTATAAGCAATTGATTTAGAATTTAATTTATATAATTATTTTCTGAATTAATTATTTTTTATTTTGTTGTTTATTTTATTTATACATTTAATTTACACATATACACATCCACTATGGGAATAACAATCTTAAAGTAGATTTCCTATATATATATATATATATATGTATTAGGTAGACGAATATTTTGTTTCGGAAAATTAAATAGTATATATAGTTTTCAATTTCTTAAATAATAGTAATATACTGTTAATAATTTCTTTGATAACATAATAGTCATATGCTGCTTATCATTGAAATTTTGTTACAAAATATGATTCTGTATATTTTGTGTGTAAATTCTATTTTGTATAAATTTGTGATTGATGTATTATTATTTCGTCAGAAATATGGCTATTGAAACAAACAGTACTGAGACTATTATTACTCTGACCCCTACACCTGTTGTGCCAATGATGACTCCGGCAGTACCGGTAAATCATGGGCAGAAGCCAAAAAAATTCAATGAAAATGATTTTAAAAGATGGCAACAAAAGATGATGTTTTATCTTACTACATTGAATTTGGCACGTTTCACTCATGAAAAAATTCCGGCATTGAATGATGGAGAAACTGACCAGCAAGTGGTTGCCGCAGTCAATGCATGGAAACATGGTGATTTTTTGTGTCGGAATTATATCCTCAATAGGTTGGACAATACACTGTACAATGTGTATAGTGTCAGAAGCATTGCAAAAGAACTGTGCGAATCTCTAAATCATAACTATAAGACAGAGGATGCTGGTACAAAGAAATTTGTTGTCGGTCGTTTTTTGGATTTTAAAATGATGGATTCCGAAACGGTTATTAGCCAGTTTCAAGTTCTCCAATTAATTCTTCATGACATACATGCAAAAGGGAAGGTTCTCAGTGAATCTTTCCAAGTAGTGGCAATCACTGAAAAATTGCCATAATCCTAGAAAGAATTCAAAAATTATTTGAAGCATAAGCGCAAGGAGATGAAATTAGAGGAACTGACAGTGCGGCTCAAAATTGAGAAGAACAACCGTGGTTCCAATATAAAGTTAGGAAACTATGTCATGCAGGCTAAAGCAAATGTTGTGGAATATGGACAGGGTCAAAGTTCAACAACAAAAAACAGAAGCATGATGACAATGGTCCCAAACAAGGATCCACTAGTAAGATTAACAAAGGGATCAACAATGGGATCAACAAGAGGTTCAAAGGCAAGTGTTTTGTATGCAGCAAAGTTGGACATCGCGCTAAGGATTGTCATGTTTGCAAGAACGGAGGGCGTTCAAACAAAAAGCCAGCACAACCCAACCTAGTCGATGATTTTTATCTTTCCGATGGAGTGACAGATATCAATCTTACTGCAGTAGTCTCTGAAGCAAATTTGGTGGGCAATCCCAAGGAGTGGTGGGTAGATATTGAAGCAACCAGCCATAGCTATGCAGATAAGAAGATGTTCACAACCTACAAAGTGGTGGAAAGTGGAGAACAATTTTTTATGGAAAACTTATCCATTTTAATTGTGGAAGGACAATGAAAGATTGTACTGATGACCTCGGGAAAAGAACTCACGCTCAACAATGTACTTTTTTTGCCAGAGATTTGCAAAAATTTGATTTCTGGGTCATTGTTGATCAAGAATGGGTTTAGATTAGTCTTTGAGACTGACAAGGTTGTACTCTCCAAGAGTGGAATGTATGTGGGGCGAGGTTATTTGAGTGATGGACTTTTTAAGCTCAATGTACTAACTGTTGTACCAAATTTGGTTTTTAATAATAAGAATACATCTTCTGTTTATATTGCTGAGTCTTCTTTTTTATGGCATGGTAGATTGAGACATGTTAATTTTAATTCTTTGCGTAGACTTGTTTCTTTAGAATGTTTGCCAAACTTAGAGTTTGATCCTAACCATAAATGTGAGATTTGTGTTGAGACAAAACTCACTAAGTCATCATTTAATAAAGTGGAAAGAAGTACTGAACCTCTAAATTTAATTCACACCGATATTTGTGATTTAAAATTTGTTCAAATTAAAGGAGGTTAAAAGTACTTTATTATTTTTATTGATGACTGCACTCGATATTGCTACGTTTACTTATTGAGAAGTAAAGATGAAGCCTTAGAAACTTTTAAGCAATATAAACTTGAGGTTGAAAATCAACTTGGCAAAACTATTAAGATGGTGAGGAGTGGCAGAGGTGGTGAGTATGATGCACCATTTGAGGAATTTTGTTCTGAATATGGTATTATTCACCAAACCATTGCACCATATTCTCCTCAGTCAAATGGAGTTGCTGAGAGAAAGAATCAAACTCTTAAAGAGATGATGAATGCCATGTTGATTAATTCAGGATTACCTCAGAACTTATGGGGGAGACAATTTTGTTTGCTAACTTTATTCTTAACAGGGTACTTGTAGACACCCCATTTTTACCAGTCCTAAGACTTGGGCGCTTTCTGTTGATTACCTAATGATGACAATCAGAATGTGTTCCTCAACAGTCCTCAACAAGAAAATGGAATTTGAGCTTTAATCCCAACTTACACACATTTTTGGCCAAACTATTTTAGACCTTAAAACCCTCTTTTCAAAATATTTTTTTGGATAGGTTTGGATTTGAAGGAAATAGGAGGGGATGGAAGAAAATTGGTTTAGGGAAAGGATGAGCATTAA